TCCAAATGTATAGTAGGGATAGTGGTAGGGTTGGGCATGGCCGACTAACCTGAGGCATAGTCCAGCTTTTGCTTGCATGTCTGTCTTTGTTCTGCATCTAGCTTGTGTCTAAGCCCAAGCTCCACACCATGCTAGCTGATGGAGTACCCATGTCCTCGTGTTAGGCCACCGGTATGCTAAAATAGCACCAAACTCCGTTTGACTTTGTTTTGCGTGTTGGTCTTGGGATTGGGATGTTGGTTGCTCTAGGATTGTTTCAAGTTGCTCCAAGCTCCTATCCCTTCACTCCTTGGGTTGCATGCTCAGGAGTTGCTTCATGGTCTAGTTCCAACACTCTTTAGCTCCATGCTTGGGGGTTTGGCACCGTTCCTTCATTTAGTGGCCCAAGGCCTTGAACCTCAGGTTTCACACCATTGTCCTATGGACACGTGGCATGTGACATGTGGCATACAAAGAAGGTTTAGGTTCCGCTTCATGGTTATCCTATGGTAAATTACCATAGGATAAAGGGTCAAAACCACGTGCGCTATATTTGGTATCAGAGGAAGAGTCTCAGCGAGTACTATTTAATGAGATTGGGCAACTAATCTCATTGCATATGCAGAGATGAAAATGATGATCCGAGTGAGTACAAGTTTGGTGCAAGGGCTTCGCAATTGTTCCTTGGGTATGGATTTGGTTACCGTTTTGTACCAAATTATGTGAGCTTGCGCTTGGGCTCATAAAATGGATTTGAGATGTTCCATTTGCACCAGTTTGTGCTTGGGCTCGTAAGGCACATTAGCAACTCAAGGTTGCACTTTGAGTTGGCAAGATTAATGTAAGCCTATTGATGGTTCCAGTGGTTCCATGAGTTGCTCCATATACCATGGGTGAAAGTAACCTTCCCTGGGTTTGCTATGAGTGGCAATATGCTGGTCTATAGCTGTTTAACATGGCACTAGTGGATCCTTCCTAGACATGGTTACAAGTGGATCAATCAAGACTATAGGGATGAGTCTATTGATTCAAGTAATCATTGTCGTGTTTTCTCATAAACTTTTCTTGGATTGGACTGAAGGCAGTGCGAATGCAAGTTTGAGGTTTAGTCAAAGATGAGACCGAAAAGAGAGTCATTGAGGACGAAGGATCAAATATGTAAATCATTTTCTCTTCTTGGAGAGATGATTTGCAACGAGGTGTAACTCATTACTTATGTTCGCATTATGCAATCAAGAGTCCCTACCTTGATGCATATTGGTTATGGTGGTCTTATAAGTGGTGAGTTGTGGGATGGATAGTGGTGGAGCACTAAACCATTTTGTCTCGGTTTGTTATTAAAGACTTGGGTTGCAATGCTCAATTCTTTTCCAGGGAAATTTGCTATTGCTCCTTGAGTAGCTTAGTGTTAGATTAGTTTTGAGATTGGTCGGAAAGAGAGTGGCATGAGTTTATCTGTGTTATGAACAAAAGTTAGTGGTGTTATAAATTTCTATCGGCGGAGTATGGCATTTATGTTGCATTTTGTCGAATTGAGTTGGCACTTAATAGTTATATAAACCTTTGAAATAATGACATAAGTGTTGCTCATGGTGTTGCTCAATTGATGATCAATTCATTGTGATATTTATCATATCTATGTGATATTGAGCAACGTGTTAACGATGTGATCAATCCCAAAGTGGTTGATGGAGAAGCTAGTTTACTTGCATGAAGTAGCATTAAAGTTACTTTAACTGAATTCTTGGTGATGGTCCATTACGCTAAGTTTATGTTAGTACTTTGTTTCTTTGAGTTTGCCCATTAAAGTGTTGGAAAGGGTTATAACATTCACTTGCTATGGCTTGTTAGTTGATCTGTTAGCATTTGAAGTAAATTGTTGGATGGAGAAAGTGTGTAGTTGAGGCATTGACATCACTAGCACTTGTGTTAATGAAAGTGGCATTGTTATTTTGAGTGACAAAGAATTCTCTTTAGACCTTGATTTTCCATGTCATTTTTCTTGTTAATATTTAGGCTTCACATTGGATCTTGAAAGTGATTAAAGAAGAGTGTTAGTGCAAATGTGAATATCCAAAGATATGGTCTTTGTGATCAAGCCTTGGATATTCATTTTGCCTTTTGCAGATGTTGTTGGATGTCAGTTATATGGGCAAAGATGTTCAATGCTTAAGCATATTGCTGGGTCATGAGAATCTATGTTGAGGTGAACTTATGTG